CCCAGTGAGGGGGTCCCCGCTCGCTCCCGGCGCTGCGCCAGCCCACGCTGGGCACAGCCCCTGCCTGGGGCTGGCTCTTCTTCCGCGCTCTTTTGAAGACCAGTTGACTAATTGGGATTTCATGGCTCTAACGATGTTGCTGCTGCGTGGTGCTCATCTGAGGACCCTGCAGGAACTGGAAGCGCACCCTGAGGTTCCAGCAGCAAAACTGGGCACAGAGGGATGAGGTTGGGAGGCAGCTGCCCCAGCGTCCTCTGGAAGCGACCGTCCCCCCCTGCCCGCCTCGGTGGCCCCGCCAGCCTTGCACCTTCTGCCTTGACAGCGCTGCCCGCCTTGGTGGCCCTGCCAAACCCTGTGCCTTCTGCCGTGGCAATGCTGCCAGCCTCGGTGGCCCTGCCAGCCCTGCACCTTCTGTGGTGGTAGTCCATGCTGACGCTCCTTGGTAGGACTAGAGACCAAGTCTTGAGTGCCCAAGAAGAGGTCCTACCATAGCAAGGACCAGCCCGTCCCCCAACCCATGTCCTGTGGGACATCGGTGACAGATGCACTTTGCCTTTCCTAGTCTAGGCTTTGGCTCTGTGGCCCCATTTCATCTCTTTCCATTTCGTAGGCGTTCCCTGAGGCGTGGAGGCCAGCTCCAGGTTGATGCCTGCACTCTCTAACCTGATGTTCATAAAGGACGTGTGGCACTAAGCCCCGCAATCAGCTTCAGCCTAAGTAAAAATTTAAAAAAGGAAAAACAAACAAAAAAACGGCCTTTACCCGCTGCAGCTACAGCCACGCTGCGTGGCTGCCCTGGTCCTTCAAAACACTTGTTGCCTTCAGCTTGAACGTTTAATTCGACATCCTTCACTTGATGGTTTATGACTGAATAAAGTTGGACTGAAAAAGTAAGTGCTGACCCCTGAGAGCATCTGGGGGTGGCCCCAGCCGGTGCCACGTGGCATCCTCTGACCCTAATTCCCGTGAAAACCCCGTTGTAGCTCCACTGGGGGTAGGCCTCCTGCCCAGGCCAAGACTGTTTGAAGGCTCTATCAAAACAGGGTCAAGGAAAGTCGTTTCATAGAATGGGGGGAAAAAAAACCCGACACTTGCACAGACTGAATCTTCTCAGAGACATGCATATTTTCTCTAATCCTACCCAAATCTGTAACAGGGAAGCAGTAAATCCTTTCCCCTGAGCTTGTAAAATGTACAGACCTGGTACTGAGCTACCCAGGGGAAAGGGACATGGGAGGGCAAAAGGAAAATCCTCAGCGAGATGCACGAACCCTGCGGCTGCATTGCACACCCTCCCAGGAACAGCCGTGGTTTAGCTCTTTGTAACCCACACTGATGGGGGGGAATTAAAAGAGTTTAACGAAGCACGGCCTGATGGTCTCTTGTTTCTTAAAAAAAACCCCAACGTGCTGGAGCGCCCTGTTGCAGTGCTCCAGCTGTGGGCACTGTATCACACTACGTATCTTAGTGGGAGAAAAAAACCAAACTCCAGGAAAACCAAGAGCAGTTTGCCATTAAA